AATTGTCAATCACAGTAAAAATTTATATTTAATTTTTCACTTGGTACTGTTATGTAAAAAAAAAGTACTTTTTTGGGGCCATGAGATAAAAAAAACCTAAATAAATTAACGCTTTTTTCACACTTGCATTGGTTGTTTCTCCTTGACTTAACCAATCCTCCAGCTTCACATATTTAACAATATAAACAGTATTAATTTGGTAATATCAATAATAATGAAAGAAACAGGGCGATATGCATCCCAAAATTCCGTGTACCAATCATTTTGGGCAAGAGTGTATTTTCTTCAGATCTTTATAATGTTCTTTCGACACATCATTTCCCCCTGGATTTCATTTTTGCCCGTTGCAAATCGGCCCTCTATCACTTAAGATTCTTCAATTTCTCTGAAAAATCTCTTTGAAGACCGTACACTTCTTACCTCCATTTAATAAATGATCCAAGTTTTTATCACATTTAAGCAGTTCGTTAGGGTATGAATACTGCTTACATTAAGAATGGTCATCGTGATATCCGTTGTCTCTTTTTACATTTTTAGAAATTTCATTTTCACTGACATGCAATTTTGTCTTGCCAAAGTAACCCCGATTAAATTACCTTTTTTTTTCATTTAAATATCGTTGGTCGTCTAATATTATAGATTTTCTTCCCGCCTTCGACATGTTTGGCGCAAACGCGGTCCCCCGTTCTTGGTCCAAACCTGCCAAACTTCCCTTTCTTTCCGCCTCTACCGATGTAGTCTACCGATATTTTTCATTCTGACGGGTCTGTTAGGAACTAAGACCCCATTTCCAGAGATTAGATCGATCTACTTTAGATCGACCTAACTCCCTGGGGGTTCACGCTAAATAGCTGTCAGCAGAGCGGACACGAAAGTTAATTACCCCCTTACAGCTTGTAGTAGGCGGGACGGACATTTAAGCCGGATTATCTGACAGTAGGGCCTAATCTAGTGAGACTCCCCGCGAGGATAGATCGATCTAAAAGCTCTGGGAATACAGCCTAACATATTTCAAAGTGTCTTTCTCGCGTATTGTTATTATCGCAGTGGGAGACACAGCACGTAAACCGAGGCATGGTTCTTACATGTAGTACCGCTACAAGAGTGTCGACATAACAAGGACTCACTTGCCCACATTGCAATTTCCTTATGGAGAATATGAACAAGGCCTACAAGAGGTGGATTTCGTCAGAAGATGAAACTAGTGTAGTGGCGCAAGTGATAATCATTACATAACTTTAAATAATGAGAGACAATTATGATGCGATGGACTTCTCTCTGAACATTTTGTCCATGCCCCACAACGGGGGAACATGGCGTTGCGATAGTGGACAGGGTTAATTTTAGCTCAATGAGAAACCGGTGTGACGAAAATTGTAGTCCTAGGAATGGAAGTCCGGGGTTCCATATGATTAGTAGAGGTTAGGGTTAGTCGGAGTATTGAGGGACGTCTGTCACCTGTACAAAGTAATGGGAGACGGACTACGGTTCCCAGCGGACTACCATTCCTGTTACACCTGTAACCATAGCAGAAATTTTGACAAATAAGTATCGGTGGTTACCAAAAAGCATGGAGGAGAATGTGTTTGTAGATGAGAGAGATAATGTCTCTAACGCGGATTCAGTGCTGCAAGTTTGCGCGCCGGTTGCCCGCCAGAAGTAAATTGCTTATAATTACATCATTAACTCTGCGGGATCGTCTTTAGAACTCGGGACGGTCCCGACCGCATTGGAGGAATAAATAGTTTCCTTTGTCCAACGGTCATCTCTAGTTTGTTTTTGAATGTAAAGATGGCTATCAATTTTAGATGTTAAGGTACGTATAAAGCTAAAAGCAAAAGGGACCTGTACTCACTGCCAGTGACCAGCTGAGTTATGACGTCAATTTTGTGCGAAAATTATTACTGGACAGAGCACAGTGCACAAAATTAGCCAGCCAAACTACTGAGTATCTGTGATTATCTAGTGAAAAATCAATCTGTGGTCCTGGTTAAGGGTAAAACGTACCCCGGTATAACCCCTTAAAAGCAAATAGTGTGTTTTAAAACAATAAGCAAGATAATTCATGAAAGATGTTCTTATTTCTAGACTATAACTTAATTACACAAATATGAGCCAAAAAAAAAAAAAAAAAAAACATTTTGAAGATGTTATCGATGCCATTATAAAGTTCTAAGGAATGTTTCATCGTGATGTTTTAAAATATTTCTAAGCCCAAATGAATAAAAGTGAGAAAAAAACATTTTCGGTCCTTTTAAAAATGTTATTATATAAACATTTATAATAATAATAATTATTATTATTTATTAAGCCAATAAAATACAAATGTATAAAATCGGGAATCTTTTGCCCTGTAGTAGCGCCATTGAAATATAAAGAATTAAAATTAAAATTACATGTTAGAGTTAAAAATAGTTACTGCCGAAGGATAAAAGCTATTTAAAAATCGCTTACTACCCTTAAAAGCTAAGAGTCTCGAATTGCTAGGTAAAAACTTAAAAAGGGTATGGGCTGGATGGGAACTGTCTGTCATTATTGATAATGTTTTCTTTTTAGTCCTGTCTAGATATATAGTATGGACGGGAGTTAGATCTGTTCCAATTACAATCCCTGCAGTTTCGACGATCTTTTCCAACTTGTTCCTCTCCTCCACAGTTGCACGTCCATACCAAACAGTTACTGAATAAGTTAAAATACTCTCTGCAAAAGTTCGTTAAAATAAACACATTTCTGGTAAAAGCATCAATTTCCTTATGAAATACATTCGTTGACGTGCCTTTTTCAATAGCTTCGTGATGTTATCGCCCCAGGTTAACCTATTATTCAGCTGAACCCCTAGTAATTTATAAGTAGAAACCTGTTCGTCCGCTTCACCGTTAACTTCCAAGGGATTTTTACTTATCTGATTTCTTCTGAAGTCTATGATCATTTCTTTTGTTTTGCTCACATTAAATATCAAGTCATTGTCTGTGCACCAATTTACTAAACTTGTAACCGACTGCCTGTATGACCATATCTCATCATTATGGTGTATCAAGCCGACTAAAGTTGTGTCATCGGCAAACTTCATTAAAAATGTATTTTCCTCCCTCGCCACACAGTCGTGGGTGAATAACGTATATAAACAAGGTGATAAGACGCAGCCCTGGGGTGTGCCAGTGTTTAAAACTATAGTGTCCGAGAAGTTAAAACCGACTTTTACTGACTGTTTTCTGTTTAAAAGAAAATCTAAAATCCAATCGCAGGGTGCTGGTGGAAAATTAAGATCATCCAAAAGTTTAAAATACAATTTGCTTGGTACAATAGTATTAAATGCTGAGCTATAGTCAACAAATAAAATTCTAACATAGGCATTTTTACAATCGAGATGTTCGAGAACTTTGTGCAAATGCATAGAAAGAGCATCGTCTACACTTCTGTTACTGCGGTAGGCAAATTGGAGTGGATCAAAGCTATTTGGCACTTAAGTTTTAATAAAAGACAAAACAAGTTTTTCGAATATCTTCATAGGCACCGGTGTCAAAGCAACAGGACGGAGATCATTTAAATTCTCTACAGTTTTACTTTTTGGCACAGGTATGATGGTTGCTGTCTTCCATATTTCAGGCACTCTGCACATTTCAATTGACCAGTTGAATATTTCCGCGAACACATCTGAAAGCTGGGCTGCGCATTCCTTTAAAAGTACAAACACATTTGCGGAATGTGTTTGTGCTACCTACACTGTACCTAAGTAAAGTTATTTACGCAATGGACAGGTTAATATCAAGGACTACTGCGTCAGTTCAAATTGCCATTTTGCCACACATTTAACAATAGCGCACTCAGGTCAATGGTGTTGTATAAGTGTTTGTGATCGTGACCGTCGTGGTGGGCACGGGGGGGGGGGGAGCACATAGAATGTGGGCACTGTCTTCTCCCTTCCTCCCCCCCCCCCCCCCCCNCTGCACATTTAGTAAACATTCAAGTAATGATTTTTCCCATGCTACTTATAGCAAACAATGCTCTTTTACCTTGATCTGCTACATGTTTTTGGGTTTGACAAAGCATACAAATTTGCAAAAAGTTTTGTGTACAGACACAGAACTTGTATTTCAAGGTATAAAATGATAAATCTTTTAAATTATTTTATAATTTAGATGGAATAACATTCAGAAACAAATCCTCAAAGCATAAACGAATTAGGATTACGAACCATTTTATTACATAAGTTCCTATTTTTTTCTTTAATATACGGCTCTTTTTTTCTGTTTGTTCTTCAACACGTTTTCTTCCACGGAAGTAATGCCTGGGCATACGCATGCTTCAAGTTACCCTGAGAGCAATTACTCTTATTAATGTTCGCGACGGTGTTTGAACTCAATTGTTTAAATATTGATATTAAACGTCATTTACAAATACCAATAAAATCACCCCATGAAATAAATGAGATATTTTGAAAAATATGAAAGCCCACCAAGACGATTTTGATACCTGTTATTACCTGGGTTGGGAAGTGCAGCGGTGCATAATTAACAGGTTTGTTGTAAACGAGCTTTTGGTCAACTACAATGCATTTAAAATGCATCAGCAATCAGTAAGTTTGCCAACTGATGACAGTTAATCTGAAAGACTACCAGCTCTTGATCTGATCTAAACCACCTGTAGAGGTGACCTTGATCTAGAGCATCGCAACTATTGTCACCGAAGTTAGTAAGTAACGGAAGACCGTCACAGACAAAGAAAGATTGTCAAAGAGAGCTGCAATTTTGGTGAATCCCACGGCAACACACCGAGGCAAAACGAAAATTCCTCAACTCCGTTCAACACAACTTTCCTAACTTCTCCATGCATGCACCATGCAGCTCAGTTGAGTCTCATAGACCTTTATCGTGATTGTCGTCACAGTACCACGTGACCCAGATCTGTTGCTTCGTTTATGCATATTGAGGTGAGGTTTACTAAAACGCTTTTTGTCTACTAATAGATTGTTTTTATAATTTTTAAATGACGGGGATCGATTAAAACATAACTGTAGTGTATAGATTAAGGACTGGATCTTCAGAATTCGAGAAATGGATTTTTATATGATTATCGTCCTTTAAGACAACTCATATCGGGCCTCTCCCTCAGCAGAGTACTGCTGCACGTATGACGGCAGCAACTTGCAATATTGTATTACGTATGTACGTACTGTTGGTACGTTTTATGGTGCATTATTATTTTTTTTATTTACGAAACGATAATTTTTTTGTGTGAATAGAATCAAGAATACTTTTGTGTGATCCAAAACATTTCTCAGTCGAAGGACAGTCTGTATGAAGCGCTTTAACCAGCCTGGGTCATCCACGATAACAAGCGTAGCTAAAAGTTGTATAGTATAGACTTATTTACAAGATACATCTTCCGTTCTTCCATTTGTTGACATTTTAGTCCGAATCTCGCTCAGTCCCTCCAGATTTCATCAAAGCAATATCTAGGGATTTAATTAAGTCAATCAAAAATACATAAATATACAGCTATATATTGACGTTACATATCTGTTTTGGGTACAAATCACTTTTGGTGCAGATTTATCTAACAACGCACAATGACAATGATAAGACCAATTAACTGAATAAGTAATTTTTTTGTTTGATTCCCTAATCCCGTCGAACAAACCCATTTTGCTACAGTCGTGTATGACCAGTTTATTAAATAAACTAATAATATTGTTGTCAGTTTCTGTCAACGCTGCCTACTCTACTGGCGTTTAACACTGTGGCTTGTGACCTAGACGAAAGGATACGTTTCGCGAAAAGATGGCACATATGCGCTTCTACGGTTGAACCGAACTCCAAGTTTGGCAACATCTTCCTCCAACTGAGAGTGGTAATTCTTTGCACTTGCGCAGTCTCCCTACAGAGAATAAGAAACATGTCACTAAGGGTGCGTTCACAATGAATCTGTCGTACTATAGTTGCTGGGCACTTAATTGTATCCATCGTATTCGTAGTAATCACCAGCTTTTCTGTATTCTACTTTTAACGCGAGAGGAGGCGTGTTTAACTATTATTTTTATTTATTTATTTATTATTATTATTTATTAATTAATTTATTATAATTGTTATTATTATCTTTTTTTGCATTTAGTGAGAATCCCCGTGGAGTTCGTGCGCAGTAACTAGTAGGATGGATTAATTGTGAACGCACGCTAAGAATGTGTAGCTTTTTTTTTTTTATCAGAAGACTGGGAATGGTATATCCATGGTTATTTTTAAATAAATACAAATCGGCTTTCCAAAACAGTATGACATACCGGTATCTTGGTGGTGTAAGAGACTAATTTCGTACCAAGATGAAGCTAGTGTTGCAAATGATAAATACACACACTGGACAATAGAAGTGTCACCCCTACTGAACCAATACTTTGGGCGGAGATAAATGACTGTGGAATGATATGCTCCTGGTATCATTTTATTAACATCAAATTTCACAAAAAGACCAAAAATACAATTCCATGGTACAGCGCTTTTATACTCACTAGTCACATAATAAGTAGACTAGGCATTATAACTACTCAAGATCTACCTACATGTAATTTGTTTACTCTGATTCAGGGGGTGGCACTTCTATTGTCCATTGTGTGTATGACATTACTTAAAATATGTCATATTTAAATGATTTGTAATTCACGAGAGACCATTTATAACGCGACGGAGGGGTTAGTTACGTAAGAGGACGCACAGTGCTTCAGTAAATGAACATGAAAAATAAAGTTTACAAGGACATTAAGAAATATAGAAAGAACAACCAGTCTTTTTCATGGAGTACCTCACTCTGTAATTCACACCTTTTACCTTTAACGAAGATATACCTGAACTATTAACAGATCGCTTTTCAGTATGCCAGAATGTTATGCTAAATTTCCAGCATTAAATCGGAGGTCAAATATTATAAACTTGGTATTTAAAAATAAAAAAATATAAAATAAAATGGACTATTGAAATTACACAGGTTGAACTATGACAATACGCAAGGTAAGAACTTAATTAGCACCCACCCTTGCCAAAAGTTTTCCTCCAGGTTTAAGCAACTTCAGAGCCAGCTCCATCACCAAGTGAGTAGTTTTAAAACTGTACGCAAAACCTAAGAATTAGAATAAAATTCAAACCGAGATAAAATTGGGAAAAATATTATGCCATTCTAACCTCGCCATTTCGTTGATCAACAGAAGATTGAATTCGAGACCGTTGAAAACTCACCCACTTTGAGCAGCAAGACACAAACCTTAAGTCGATGGAGACAGAACTTTAGAAGAATTTCAGATTAGAGAACATGCGCTTTTGAATCTGATTATATTTTTGTTTATTGTTAAGATCTGGTTAATTAATACCTAATTAATCTATTCTCACCGTATTTGTTTTCTATATCTACTGCGAATTCACTTATGTCATTGATGATATAGTCAAACTTCTTTTCCTGCTCTAGGCTTTCCTTCATCACTTGGATACCGTCACCAATTATGATCTATAAACAGTCAATTGAAGGCGGCCTAAAAACTCACGAGTAAGGTATTCGTATACGTATCAGAAAATAAAAAAGTCTATTAGATTTCTTTGACAAATTCCCATTAATTGTCCACACACGTTGGTGATACCCTTTATAGTAGCCCTATTGTGTAATTATGAATTCAGCATTAAGCCACAACGACACAGACACAAGTAGATGTATGCATGGCAGGTGATAGTTTTGTTTCTCACATTGGTTTTATTTTTCACATTAGCCTGGATGCTACACTTACCTTATAGTTGGGCCCCTCAAAATTATCCATGCTGTCACCACATACGCTTCGCAAGTGAGTACGACACGTTTTAATCACCTCTTCATCAACCTAACATCGTGAATACAACTTATACTTGAACATATATTGAATGACAATTTATATAATTTATAAATCATTTCAAACAAACATGAGTGCCATTTGCTTTATTCAGAACTAGGGTCATCAAAATAATAATTTACATAGCAAGAGAGTATTTTCATTTAATCTTATAACAAGCTTGCTCGTCATGATTAAGATGGTAATCTAACTGACAAACTAGTCATGGGCATTCACTTTCGTGATGAACACAGTATCAACTTTTTTGTCGTAATTATTTAACAGCTGACAGTTCATTGGAAACTTGTTCACTTACCTCGGCCATGGTAACATACTTTGGATTATCCTTCAACAACTCGTGCAGGATTCCTCCGTCCCCTCCTCCCAAAATCAGAATCTCTTTCCCTTCATAGTTTTCACGCTTTGTCGTTCCCAGGCCTAGTAAGGTCTGTGTGTAGATTGAGTCACTCTCACCAATACCTTGAAATTAGACAACTGGACACATTTCACACATTCTGTAACAGTTTTATTATGAAAACATAGAATAAATAATATGGCTTTCCGTAATCAGAGATAGAGACATTTCAGGCTTTTAAAGTTCACTGATAATTACATGCATGTATCATTGGCTTTTTGTTTTAAATGACTGAGTAAGCTGAAATATCGATCTATACTACCGGTGTGACAGGAATAGTCGTTCCCTAGGAACCATAGGGCCTATATATAGTCTGTTCCCCATTACTTTGTACAGATCACATTCGCCCCATATACATGTACATATTACTAACCCCAATATTCCGACTATATAGCCTGACTATGGGACCCTGGACTTCCCGTCAGAACGGCATTCACTAAAATCCACCAAGAAAATATTTTCATCAATAGGGCCTGTAGAGTTATCTGTCCAATCTTAAATATATAGCTATTGGAAACACGGTGCTCGTATAGCGTACTTTCTGTCATCTATGTTTATAAAATATCTAAAATATTATAAAACATTGTTTATAGACTTCATACTTGTAGGCCAAGCGTCCCCGTGGTTTTTAACACTACAGGAAGCTTTGTTGGAGACATTTTTAATATTATGACAGCTGTTTCTTACAGACATCAACTTACTGACATCGTCATCCAGGACCAAAACATTCCCAAGCTCTCTGGAGTGCATGATCTTGATATTCTGCCAGGAAGAGTTGGTCTCATAAACAACTTTATCATAGTCTGGCTCGACCAGTCTTTCATCTGCTGTAACATAATAAGGCCACGCCTTACCACCACGACGAACGGGGGTATACAGGCTGAAAAGTCAAAAGTGATATTTTATATATTCTGCTCATTTTTGTTGTCGGTTTCCCTTTATGCCGTAGTGTGAAAAATCTAAAGATCGGGTCATAGCTTTGTTGCATTGCGATTATCCTTTACTGAAATATAGTGAATAAAAGCCTTATTCGTAACACAGCAAACAGGAATTTTTCTTATCTATCCACCTACCAGTGTAAAAATTCCACCTGAGATCCAAACTGATCTTTTATTTTTCGTTTTAACTCCTTGATAGCCTATACAAATTAAACAAAAAAAATAAAATAAATAGATAAAATAAAATTGATATTAGAATTACTAGAAATAAAAGTTTTTATACAAACAACTCTGGTCTTGAATTAAACGGGCATCTCTGAAATATTTTAAGACATTTGAAAAAATGTCACGCACAGAAACATACATACATGTATGCATATATACACCGAATACATGCACGACCACAACCATCCGTATGGCTTATACGGGTATATACATGTAGGCCTATACTCATACAGGCTGTCAGACATTAAAAATTTTACCAACATTTTTGGTAACTTCACGTAATGTCTTTGTTTATTGTTTGTCATTCTTCATAATACGTAAAGTCTAAAGAGGTCAAGTCATCTTGTTAGTTAATATGATTAAGAAGTTAAGAATCCTTTGACTTGGTTTGAGATTAAAGAGTGAAAATGCGTTATCCAACCTAAAATTATACAACGGTGTCCGTATTTCGTGCCTGTTTGTAATTTTTACTCATTGCTAAATTTGTACGGTTCCAGACAAGGCGGCTCCTTCAGCGAACGGCATGTCCGTCATGTCTTGACTCTGCTATTCATTTTCAAAACATTAGCTGTAAATCACATGCCCTTCGCTCGTCATCACCATCTTACTTAATTGGAAACCGTGAAAGTGTGCTAATTATAGGTGAGAGTCCACTATAAAATTTCAGTCTTTCGGTGCGAATTCCTTACCTCCATATTATATTTACCCATGCTCCATTCATACTCATCACCCTTGCCATAGTGTTGAACATCAAGCGTAACAAGTCCAGTGAAGTATATTCTCAAGGTGGCATGACTGCAAAATTAAATTAAATAACTATCTCTTCAAATTTTCTTACGAATTAATAGAACGTAACTCTAGTCAAGTAGATTACCTTCCTTCACGAAACAAAGTATACAAAATATTTGATTATTTATAAATGATTTAGGAAAAGTGTTTCACAGCAATGGTTGCCAAATACACGAAACATCTTAATCCCAATACCAACTAATAAAATATAGTAAGAAATATGCGTGTTAAAAAAAATCAGAGGGCATTGGGAACAAGTTGATCTGCTAATGAGCTTAATTTTCACTGTTAATTAATAAGGTACGTTTTTTATATTATAGGAGTTAGCTTGCACTGGAAAAATATTTTTAAAATTCCTGGATCCAGACGGTGATCCGGATCACCACCAAAGTCCAATCACTTTAAAATTCTGACTTTTCCTGAAAATTTCAACAAAATCCATCCATAAATGTTTGAGTTTATTTTCACTTCTCATAGTTTTCGGGTCATGCCTTCTCACCTTCCCGATGTCCCAGTGAAGATGAAAAGTTTGTCTTGATCTACCTGTAACTGAGTGGGCTCTGAGGAAAGTGCACCCAAAGTCAGTTCTCCAATTTTCTTCAAACTGACTAGGAAAGCTTTATTTAAAACACAAAATCAAAGAATAGTTTATTTTTTGCAGGACGCAATTTTCCTGCAATGTAATTGGCAGTGTTTTTTTTTTTTTTTTTTTTTTTTTGTAACAAAAATATCATCAAATTCAGTATCATGCTTGAAATATAAATGCTAGTTCAAATTGAATTTGTTCGAAACAAAAATTGAACATTGCGTACTTAAACAGTTTGCGTATAAATAATCAATTTGTAGCACCCCCATCAGTACTCTCTATCCACAGGGTGCACAAGGGTGCAATTTTTGTATTGCATACTTAAATTTTGGATACTATGGGACCATTCCTAGACCCTATCGTACTAACTGTGGACGACGATTTATCTCCAAGGTTATTCTCGCTAAATTGCAATCAACTTAAGCGGCTTAGATGTCTGGCACACCCACTGAAGCTGCTAGAGGGTAATTAACTATCGTTTAGCAGCTTCAGTAGGCTTGCCAGACATTTAGCGAGAAACCCTTGGACGTGGATCGATCCTCTTAGATCGATCTAGGTATATAGATTGTCTATTTTAGAAGCCCCTGATATTAGAGGGTACCACATCAGTACAGCAGTGATTAGGGACGCAATAAAACTGATTATTCAGACTTGATTCTTTAGGGCTGTCTGAAATACAAATTAGTTCAGACTGCTCTATTCAACTATTTTTATCCTCTCTACATAAAATAATAGCCGACGTATAAAAAATCAATTTGAATCGTCAGCATTGGAATTCGAGGCAAGTAGCAATAGTGTCCTTTTTACCTGGGTCGCTAACGTAGCTGGCTGTCACTTTGAAGCACATGATGATCGTGTTGGCAGTCATGTTTTCGAGTAGCAGAAAACCCAAACTCCAAAGTGTGGTGCTTTTTCTGTCTCGAGAAAAAGTTATCTCTGCAGCAGCATCAACATGATTTGCAGTTAAATACTCTACTCTGTCTGAGTGTCTCTGCTTAGACAAAGGTTTCTTGGCATAAATTCTGACAAGATTTGCCAATGTTTCATTGATGTGTCATATCAACCATTTTGTTTTGACTATATCACAGTTCTAGTGTGGGAAAAATCACACGGAGAAGACAACATTATAAGTTTAACACGGGCCTTAATAAGAATTGCTCCTGTAACGCCCGATGGAAGAACTGAGGGAGGCTGGATTGCACATAGAAGAATAAAACACATATCCCATTTAATGGGGCCTCCTGTTGAAATAACAAACAATTTTGTACTCTGAATTTTTTTCACAAATCCGACAAAATTTGTTACCTGAAATCATCAAGATACATCAAAGGGAGAAAAAGATAGGCCTACGAGAGTTGTAGGCCTAGTGTGTACGCGTGCGTGGGTATGCCTTTTTTTAACATTTTTGTAAATGGCCTTACAGGGCCTTTATGGGTGCCTCCATCAAACAAAACTAAAAAATATTTAAAACCAAAGTTAACGGGTTCCATTTCTCCAGATTTGTCTTTTGCTAAGGAAAAGGCACGGAAAAAAACTGCCATATGCGGCATGTCAGCGTGCCTAGAGTCACTTTTGCACGTGTATAAACACAATGTTTATATATCATTGCGGTAACTATCAAACTTGTGAATGAAATGAGGAATGATTACAGTTATGGATAAATATTTGGAAGTATCCGTCAGCTTAAGTTTTAGGTGCGTGTGGTGTACAGGCGAGAGGTCTATTATTTGGGTTATCTTGTTTGTGCTGACATCTACAGAACAAGTAATGAAAGCAGTGTATCAGTTATTTCCTATCTTTTCTTCACGAAGAGCACGTCTTGCCCTGCTTGCTGATTTCCCTTTCTTTCTAAAAGTTGTCTTACTTATCTGTCAAGATGGTGAACGTCATGAAAGGCGTACTAGTAGAATGGTAAGTGTAATGTAACCTAAAAGATTCACATTTAAAACAACTGATGGTGCGGATTGTATCAGTACTGAAGTAGACTAGCAGTAGAGCCTAGAGATCACACGTGATTTCTTTTTCTTATTAAACTGGAGACTTGAAATTTGGTACACAGACAGGACAATATCTGAGTATGAATAAACCGTAATTTTTTTAGCTATCCCAATTAGACCAAAAGTTATTCTAGTTTTAGTTCCACCATATCTGTCATTTTATTCAGCCACCACATTCAAAAATGAGTCACCACTTGATTCTCTCCCCTAAATGATGCCAAAGGATCTTCAAATTTGCCACACAATAAGTAAGGGAGTTAGGCATGAACACACATGCTGCTTTGGTTTTTCCAAGCCGAGTAATGTTCATGCAAATTAAGCAGGCAAAGTGAATGAATTTTGGGCCACAGAAGCATGCAATATTGAAAACACTACTAGTAGTTCAAATTGATACAATGTTTCTTCCAAAGCAAATGCAATAGAACTTGACCTCCTAACATTAGCTGAATGGGGGGCAAGAGGGGGAGGGAGGTAACAGAAAATCACAAAATAAACAATGCCCCCAATTTTCTCGGAAATCTGACATGCTGGTGAAAAACAATTCCATATATTTTGTCTTGGCACCCTTTGCTGAAGAAAATTATAATTTAAGGATTTGCCAACCTCATAAGTCAACCACCATACATACTTTAATAAAGAACTGGATAGATATATTGAAAAAAAAAAAAAAGAAAAAAAAAACAACTGTGATCATATATGTATAAGTTTTTATAATTAATTTAGTAAATTAACTTTTGTAAATACTAAATTAATTTATAATACTCACACCAGAAAAGAATGATGTGAGACAAGCACATATTGCCTCTGTGCAGTTGAAGTCTAAAATGGTCTTAGATATATGGGTACAGGCAACTTACCAGTACATGTACATGAAAGCCTTCCTTTCCAGCTTTTTGAAAACCTGTATTGGATTTCTGCCTCTGCATGATAACTTGGGAAGAATATTTAAAACTTTTCATCATTCTTTATCCTGAATGGCATGTAAATGTGACAAGAGCTTTTGAATATTTGAACAGCTGGTGCTTGTTTTTGTGCACATAGAAAGAGGACTCGATTCTGAAACAGTACCCGATAAATAGTGCAGATTTTGCCTAGGATGTGCACATTGAAGTCCTTGGGTGTGCCAATAATTTCATGTTTGTTCCAACTTAAACCATATTAGTAACACTGTTTTTCTCAATATTTCAGTGATCCAGCAATGAAACAGTTTCTTCTTCAGCTGGATGAGAACAATGATCTTGGAAGAAAGTTTGTAATCCAGGATCTAGATGAGACCCACCTCTTCCTCTCAGCAGATATTATACCATTGTTACAGGACAGGATAGATGACCTGATGGACAGACTCTCTTTTCCCGTTACTAAAATGGAGTGACTGTAAAGTTTTGCTGTCACAATTGAGGTGATGCCTCTAGGGGACAGTCAGCTGTCACTGTCATGTTGACCTAGACCTAGATATCAAGGTCATTAAGCTGATGGACAGCTGGTACAGTTACAGGAGTGATAAATGTGATGGGTAAAACTGTCCATTGTTATATGCTGAAGGATGGCCTTTGGATTTTATTAACAGCGGAAAAACTATGTTACATCAGCTGCTTCTTTAGTCTCTCATTCTCACATGTTCACCAGGAATCCCAACAACCACAATTATTGTGACTGGTATACATCTTACATACATGTAGCAATGGCAGAGTACACAGCATTCATTTTTTTTGGGAAAATATGCAATGTCACATCTGAAGCAAGTGACTTTGACAGTTGTCACACATGAAGGTGACACTGACGTAATTGAGACCTTTCATATCTTGTAATCACAGTCACATGGATAGAGTTCAGTAGGATAGGTAAAGTTACAGTGACTTAAGATAACATATATAATGTATTACCACAGAGGCTATGGTGACAGTCACAGCAGGATAAGAAATAGCTAATGGTATATGGATCTAATAATCATATATATTTTTTTGCTTTCCTTCCAAAATATAAATATATTTCTGAATAAAATGGTGTTATTTAAATTATGTACTTTGTAATCTTTTTGAGTACTATACAGACTCGAGTGCCTGGCAGTGTTAACAAATGCTGCAATGGTACTTCTACACATGTATTGCTCATCGCTATTACTTGCTTTACTTTTGCTGGGACATTTTATCATTTAAAGATGTGAAGTAACTGAGTACTTATGTCATATCATTGAAATCATGCCACTGCCAATCAAATACTCCACAGTGTTTAAATAATACAATATAAGAAAATATCCCAGTACCCCAGGTTTATTACATTATTTCCCAAAAAATGATGTGTTTGCTTGCTTTCTTTGCCTTATGGACTGTTGAAAGAAAAAAGGTCAAGTGTACAACAATAAAGTAGAAAAAAGTGCAATTTTTAATACTTTTTTCTGCTGCCCTAGAGATAAACTTAGGTTGGTTATTTGGAATGTGGATTTTATTTGTATTTTGTTAAAAAATGGTACTTATAAATTTATATACGTTACTGGGAACTTACTCTTGCTTCATGTCTTTGATTACAGCATCCATTAAAGAATCTGTACAGCAAATAACGTGTCTTATCCGTTCCTGTTATTTTCTGGATTTAAGCCAGATGAAGCAATTCTAAGTGGATGCATTTAATGTAACAAAGACATAAAGTTTGTGCTCGGATTTGGTCCATGGTGGGCCGCTCTTTATTTTGAATAAAACCCTGTGAATTTGTCTTTAAGGACGTTACTGCCAATAATAGCACCTGTATTCCAACTTAAAAACAAATAACTACATGTACCCTGTATAAAGTACTGATTTGTGGAGTTCCAAAAGCGCCTGTAGAGCCGCATTTTTCACGCCCCTTTTAAGTTTCTCCGGAACTCCAAAATACATTTCGTTATCACATTCGTTCTTCGATCATTACGTTCAATTTATTATTTAAAACTTCCATCAAGCAATCTTTACATTAAACAATTTTGTAGTTTGTCAGAAACTCTATAATGCTTTACAATCTTCCGCCATCGCATTATTTTTTGGGCCTGTTATTCATTTTATTATCTATCTCCTATTAAACAATCTTTACTGCATGTTTAGATGAACAAAACGTTTTATTCGCCCTACTCCAAAAATATATATAGTTTGTCAGGAACTCCAAAACGTGGTGACAATTTTCCGTGGTCGATATTTGTTTTTCCGTCATGTCTTTCATTCTATTGTTTAAAACTTCCATTAAGCATGCAATCCTTACAGCAAACAATTTTATAGTTTGTCAGCAACTCTAAAAACATATAAATAGTTTGCCAGGAACTCCAAAAAGTGGTGATAATCTTCCGTTATCGTTATTTGTTTTTCATTCCCGACTTTTCTTACAGCCAATTCTTACAGCAATCAATTTTATTGTTTGCGATAAAAAAACCAAACGCGTTGGCAATCTTCCGTTATTGTAATTTTTCTTTGGCCTTACGGTGACTGCAGTTTTGCTAACAAATGTGCTGCTTCTTGATCGATTCCCTTTTCAATTTCATTTTTATTATGTACAGACACAGATTTGTCTGTTCATACAGCCGTCACCTCCGTCTGTCGTTGGCGTTGTGCACTTTCAGCGATTACACGATAAGCGGAAATCATTTCACCTTTTGTATTCAGACTAATGGAACAAATGAATATTCATAAAATACAGGTGAAGTTCGAAAATCGGCATGATCGGGCAATTTTTTTCAAAAGTTATTCTATTTTTTTTCGCTTTTTTCAACATATTTTATCCACTATTATAGGGCCTATAGAAAACCAAGTCGGATTAAATAATTTTTCTGGAAGTTTCACCACCACCACAAATGCGTCCAGACCCCCCCCTCCCCCCCCCCAGGTAATCGGTTATTCATCTATTATTCAGCACGGATCCCTGACAGCTGCACAGATGCATGTTCGATTGAAGTTTTTGATTCATTGACAAACAGAAACAGCGGAACAAGGGTATGCTAAATAAATTTATGTTGTTATGTAAACAAGCGTTTTTTTTCTAAATATCGATCTGTTTTACCAATTTCTGTGTATATAAAGTAAACAAACGTCTCTGGTGAATCCATCAGTTCCGACAAGTAAGCCCCGCAGACCGGAGCGTTAAAATGCTGGTTGACTACCATTCAATCGTTGTTGTCAGCTTAATTAGTAAGTAATGATAAGTATTAGAAAGGTTTACGGGGCGAAGTATGGTTATTGTTGTTTCTGGATTGTATCAAAGGGCGTCGCTTAATTCAGATATAATAATTGTTTTAAAAAGTAATGGCTTTTATTAAAATGGAACTTTGGACATTTGGATATCAATTTTTGCACCAATCAGATGCCAAAATTATTTGTTAACCGCAATCTGTAAACTGTAAAAAATAGCTATTGTGCATGCTATTTTCAATAAGGCCCTGGCAAAACAATAGGTTTTTTTAACATGGTCGAGAAGTCTGAAAAGAGCGCAATAATAAGATTTTTTTTTGTCCATTTTAGTTTTGTAGTTTGTAAAAAATGTTTCTTCAGTGCGGGATAATATGAGTAGTTATTTTGTATTACTTTTAATGGAGATGGCTAGTAGTCCTTAAACTGTCATACAAGATTACTTAAAAACAAGTCTACTTTTACAAACGCTATCAATACTAACTCCTTTTTTCCAGGCGTTATCACCGCCTCCGACCAATATCTACAAAATGCCGATTTACCTACTTTATTCCACGAAATCAGCACAACCAGGCAGGAGTGTTTTGCTGAATGTACTAAATTAAAACCGGCTGGACCTCATGGCTTTGAATGTCTCCAGGCTAAATATGAGTCTGCGCGAAGTGTGTGTGTCCTTTTCTTAGGTAAGTTTTCTTATTTACATTAACCGCATGGAAATGAACATAAATTTTGAAAGCTCAGAATTATTACAATTACTTCGTGTTTTCCATTAATGTGTTGTAGAATAGGAAAATTTAAGACCACATATACGTACAGTAAGTGGTTTTAATTTAAGTTCGTCTCTCCTTTTGTTTTACTTCGAGCATTAGAGGTTTAAGATATCAATATGCCCCAGAAATCAGAAAGCTCTATACCCTAGAACAAAGGCAGTGCACACTTTATTAGGGATTTCATTGTAAAATTTAGAATAGTGATCAACCAGGCCATTTATTGCATGAAGGAAAGGCAAGAGGGAACAACAAATTAAAAATTCCAATAGCTAAGACTGATATATTTTATGAATTGCTGTCTTTTATAATTTTTACATCCCGTTAACCTTTTTGGGTGTTTTAGAAACAATAAAGTTTAGATATTTTACAACTTACCTAAGAGAATTTAAGTTCCAACAGTCAAAACTAAACTTTTATTAACAGTTAATTTATAACTCCCTTTTAGAATATTTATTAAGAACCATTTAGTTATAAGCTCATAACTACCCGTTAAGTTAATTTTTATTTGCTTTGATCATCGTACAAATTCAACCTTTGGGTAGATATTTTACTAAATAAATTGTTAGGTACAATACGTGCCAGTTTTTGAATTCTCAAATTTCATCACAACGCACTCTTATGAAAACTGGTGAAAAATGGTTGTAATATTTAGGCAGAACATGAATTGCTGAATTTGAAGAAAAGAAATATAACATATTATTAATGCTGAAGATTTTCATCTGTTTACTGAAATGTGTATTTTCATCTCAATTCAAATTTTCCTGTTTAAATCATATTTTCCATTGGTCAAAATATTTTCGTGTAAAAATAATAAAAGATAGGAAATTTGGAGAGGAAACTTGCATCTCATTGACACGCATAGACCTAAAATGAAAATCACAATGAAATAACGATGAACACAAAGCGTCCAAAGTCAAAACACTTTCTACCTGAATTATTTATTTTGTTATGCAGATTGACAAATACTTAGTTTTTCAACCGATTTTGTTTCATACATGGGAAAAGTTCAAGATCCAACTCTTTGTAATAAAGACCTATAAGGCCGTGGCTTGTGTGTTTGAATGAATCACTGGCCTTATGCTTCTGTCAAATGTCTCGCATCCTCAGTTCCTCAGTTGGAGGATTGTTATTTCAATATGTTAAAAAAACATCCCTATCTTTATTACTGTTGACTCAATCGAGTACAAGGTACCGCAGATCTGAATAATTGATGTAAGATTTGAAAAGAATGTTCTTTCATTTGCTATGATTGATTAGTTTGGCACTGATCCAAGGATAGGGAGTCTTTATAGAATTTTTCATGAATTCGGACTTACGCCGTACTTTCATTCAAGTTGGCTAGTGAATTGCAAAAGCTTATTGAAACATTTGGCAATCAATGAATCCTGTATGCTGTTTGTCACAAATCAGTTATCAGTACCTTGAAAATTGTATAATCTGCACATCCAAAATACTGTAATATATTTCAAAATGTCATTTTAAATATTAATGAAAATTTTGGTATCATTGCATGTAGATAAAAACGAGTGCGTGAACGGCACCAACCTGTGCCAAGAAACGTGTGTCAACACCGTCGGAAGCTACAGATGCATGGGCAGCAGCGGTCTGTTACTGGATCCAGATAGGATTCCCTGTAAGGACAGTCCTTTATTTCCTTTTGAAACTGCTTTTAAGTTACCATAAGATAATTTTTCTGTTCTATTGATCAACTTTTTGTGTACAGACACGACGTGTCTGTACATATAGCCAACTCCTGGGTCACCATCGTAATTGCCGTGCAATTTCTTCTGAGGCTGCATTCACAACAAAAGTTGATCCGCAGACTAAAAAATTTGTGGATTAAATATGGCTGATCCAGTTGAAAGCTTACCGCGTAATCCCTGCCTGGAATCTATTCAGTGTCTGTTTGGGGTTCATGCGGCAAGCTTCCAAGTAAGTCGGTCGTATTTGATCCGCGGATCTGTTAGTCCGTGGATCAACTTGTCCTGAATGCGCCCTGAGATAAGGCAATAAGCAGAAAATCTGTTGACCTATTGTCTTTCAACTGACAGAGCTTATGAATATTAATAAAATACAGATCGAATTCGACTTTATTAGTCATGTTTTGTGATGATCAAATTTTTAAAAATGGTCGTGAATAGGTGCTTTTGGGCATTGTGTAATATTGCATCAAAATTTTCAAAAACCCCAAATGGGCACTTGGGCGTTATTTTCTGCTTTATGTCTGTACACTTAACAGCTTTGCTGCTTTGTTTCAGTAAGAGGAAATATGTAGGTTGATAGCTCCTAAACTATGTTTAACTACATGTATATGCAATCAGGTATTGGGAATTTAAGATCTTTAATTGTGCTGATTTATTTCGGTTCAGAATGCGTTAAATATCTTTAATTCAGAACTCCAGTAAGTCCCACATAGTTAGAAACCTAGTAACTCGAATAAACTTTTATTTTGGTCACATCTTTTTTTTTTTTTTCTTAGCAACGTTTGGTGGTGGGACATTCACAAACCTTGGCACTACGGGAAGGGATGGGCCTACTTCGGTGGGCTCTCATTATGACGGTACAGACCTTCAGGGGCTGGTGACAGTGACCAACGGGACCCAGTACATAACCATACCGTCCAATGGTACTTACAGAATAGAGGCTGCAGGTAAGTGGACGATACACACTAAGGAGTAACTTTGGTAGAAGTCATGACGCAGCAAACACAAAACGTTATAATAATGCTACCATAACGTTTATATAACCAATTAAACGTTTATAAAAACGTTATGGAAAGGTTAAGGTAACGTTATAAAACATTCCGTGCTTGCTGGGGAGTCACTTTCGACGGTGCTGATATTAAGCAGAAATATAGTATTTATATGTCGGAACAGCACTGTTTTTTGTCTGGTAAGATAAAATTCAGATTTTGTGCACGGTTTAGCGATTATTCCAACAATTGTCATGTGAAAAATTCTTCAGGTGCTGCTGGCGGATGTGACAGCAGTGGGTGTACATATCGAAGCTACGGCGCATATGTGGTTGGAGACTTCACGCTTTATGCAGGTAAGTGTGTGTGTGTGTGTGTGTGTGTGTGTGTGTGTGTGTGTTTGGGCGTGTTTGTGTAAATGGGGATGTCACGAATTATGTTAAACGAAATATTGTTGGATTTACCTTTGTGCACGATTTGAGGGTGTACGAGCCGTACAGCTCAACAGATAATTGCACCACTAGCGTGAGCGCTGGGAATACACGTGGTTTTATCCTTGACCCGTCTCGTCCGACGGCTCACGCGAATTCACCGCATGTCGGCGGATTCACGTTACCGTCACAGCATCTCCTCTTAGACTTGTGTCCTCATCTTATGGAATTAAGTCACATATAATCTCAAATTTTAATAAACTTTTTCAGTCTTTACCTTGAAGTTTCCCATGTGCTGCCTGAGTTACTGGTCAATAGGTACATTTTCACGGGTGACAGTGTGTCAGCCATTATATGCCAAAACTGAAAACCATTTATAGTTCTTTTAACTAATCCAGCTGCTTTTACATACCCAGGAGGCAGCATTGCCCTTCTGACCATCTAATGCCTTCTTGAAAAAAAAATGAAATTAATATTATATGTAAGGAAGCATAACCAAAAACATCTAACAGTACCTCCAGCAGTAAGCAGACAAAGCCTCGCAAGCCTGCATTACTCTTAGACCACATTCCCACAGACGCCTTAAATTCAATCTACGTAAACCTATCCAACTCTGCGGGGACTCTTGCTGAGTGCAACCCTCTTTACTTTGAGTTAACTTAATGACACGCCTTCTCCTTGAGAAGAAAACAAAAGCTTATGATAAGTGTTTTTACGAGTGCATTGGATACAAGAGGCGTGTCATTCAGTTAAGCTGATTGCACTCAGAGAGAGTCCCCGCAGAGTAGGATCGATATACGTAGACCGATGGTGTCTATAGGAATGGGGCCTTACTGATTCTTGACCAACGCCTATTTTACAGGTGACCAGCTAAAGATTCTAGTAGGACAAATGGGCGGTGAGAATTCTCATTCTTCCTCTGGCGGTGGTGGCGGCACATTCCTGACGTACGACGATAACACGCCTATCATCATAGCTGGTGGCGGGGGAGGTATTGAAGGGGCTACTAAGCGGCGAGCAGCGTGTGGCGGCACTACAAATACTACTGGGAACAGCGGTTACAGTAGCAGTACGATTTGGCCTGGTGGTTCTAATGGAGAGGGCGCTTCAACTGCAGACACCAGTAATTCAGGTGGCGGCGGCGGTGGCCTGCTGACAAACGGGCGCAGTAGCACTGAGTTTGGTGGATCCTACGGTACGGGCGGTGAAGGTGGATTCGCTTTTGTAAATGGAGGTACTGGTGGCAGGCCGAAATCATATCTAGGCTGGGGAGGGTTCGGTGGTGGGGCGGGGGCGTATGGTTTTGGCGGAGGGGCGGGGGGCGGAGGCGGTTACTCGGGTGGAGCTAGCGGAGATAATTCCGTAAATTCGTGCGGTGGAGGAGGGGGCTCGTACAACGCCGGAGACAACGCCTCCGGTCAAGACGATTACAACAACGGCCACGGATATTTGATTATTACAAGAATATAATCCAGATATTTGATAACATATATGACCAGATTATAATCCAGATATTTGATTACATGTATGACCAGACTACAATCTAGATATTGTATAATGATGAAATTATTATCCACAGACTAATACGAAGCCTTAATTGGTGATTAAAACGTCACACCTGCCGCAGTAAGGTTTAAAATGACAAGTTATGAATAATTAATATTTTATCGCCTACGGGAAAGACAAAGAGAGCGGAATATGGCGTTTTAAAAATAAGTATTTTACTTTTACTTTATATTGTCATTTTTATGTGATAGTTTTAAAGGAACGTTGTGTGCGTTAGCATTTCTGCATTTTACTTAATTCATACCTGTAGAGTCTGGAAAGCGTCTTCTTTAATGGAAATTAAAATGTATGGATTTAAATTGTGTTTAAATAAGATGACCGGTATGAATCATTAAATGGAGTAATGATATTATGCTGCTTAATATTTTGTGTCTTGTCAGTTGACAAGGAAAAGGTGTAATTTTATAACGGTCACTTGGAATGCGACAGGTTGGTGTGCATTCACATATACTTAAACCACCTCGAACTTTAAAATCTTGAATCATGCTGTAAACTGTGAATTATCTATAGTTCGTAAACTGCTGTACTAGTAGCTGAGGAGTTTTGTAGGCAGGGTCTAAAATTGATTCGCAACATATTGACTATTTTACAGAAAATTTGTGCAGAAATTGGCGCTTATTTGGGCATAAAACCCCATTCAGATAGGGTGCATTCAGATAGACCAATTGTAATAGCTGGGTCGGTCCAACTTTGAGGAGGATAATCTCTAAATACAATCAGCGTAAAAGTCTGCACCCCCCTCGGGCAGTAAGGGGGTAATTAACACGGAAGTTAGGTTAAATTAAAATTTCAATTCTGCCTCGCACAAATTAAAATCTGGCTGGTTTTCAATTTGGTCTGTGGTAGGCTACTAACACTACATTAATCTTTTTCACAAAATGTGCTACTGTCACATCTAACGCATTCTTTCTGTTGCAACGGCCAAGTTATAACTTCTTGCACACGTGAGACACGTGAAGGTGGCACTGATGTAAATGAGACATAGTCATATCTTGCAGTCACTGTCAGGTGCATAGACTAAGTAAAATAAATTACAAGCCACCATATACACTCGACCTACTAAGTTCGGAAATATCGTTATCTGAATAATTATTAAATAAGCATATGTGCTAAGGTAAGGATGTTAACCAAATATTGATGAATAATGCAACCACTATTCGTTACTTTTTTACATAAGCTAAAAAAAATTTCCCACTACATTACATACTAATTATTGATAATACTTTCATGTTTCCGAACATTTTGGATGAGTGAATATAATGCTACACAGACTTACAGTGAAGCATGACAACCACAGCAGGATAAGAAACGTAATGGATATGCATGTAATAATTTTGTAAAAATTATGTTATAATTTTGCTTCCCTTGTAGTACATGAATATGCTTCAGAATAAAATGGTGTTATTTAAATTATGTATTTTGTATTCTTTTGAATTACCATGCAGACTTGAATGTCAGTGTTGTTCTATTAGTGATCGTTATTACTTGTTTCATTTTGTTGGGTCCATTTTATCATTCAAAGATGTAGAGAAACCGAGAACTTATGTCAAATTATTGCATTCGTGCCACTAAACCCAACCAAATACCGCCACAGTGTTTTAAATGGTACAATTTAAAGAAATAACACTGTCACATCTAATGCAAGTAATATTATTTCCCGAAAGTAAATTTACACAGATATTTTCTGCTTGGTCTCTGTGTTTTATGGACTCTAGAGAGAAAAGGTTAAATTTACGACCAGAAGTTTAAAGAAAGTGCACTTCTAAATCATATTCCTGCTGCCCTGTAGAGATAAATTTCGGCTGGGTATTTGAAATGTAATTTTTTTTCGTGTGTTTTGAAAGAAACTTGAACTTACCCAATATACCTTATAAACGTTACAGGGCAAAAAGACCCCATTCCCATAGATATTTAGATCGATCTATCCCTTGTGGTGCACGCTCGGCTGACAGCAATTTAGCGTAAGCCCCCAGGGAGTAAGGTCGATCCAGATCGATCGATCTAAATCTCCGGGAATGCAGTCTTAATCTCACTTCATGTGTATCATTAAAGAAGATATCCTTTAGATGCTCAGATAATCCAAAGTCCGTTGACAATCTTCTGTTATCGTGTTCGTTTTTAAACCTGACGTAAATTTTATTATTTAAACTTCCATCAACCACAATCTTTGCAGCAAAAATTTTTATAGTTCGTCAGGAATTAAAAAGCGTTGGCAATCTTCCCGTTATCGTTATTTGTATTTCTGTCCCGATTTTCATTTATTATTTAAAACTTCCATTAAAAAGACAGCTAACAAATCATAGTTTGCCAGAAAATCCAAAGCAATCTTCCGTATTGTAATCTTTATTTGGTCCTGAAGGTGCCTGAAGTTCGGCTAACAAATATTCGACTTCAAGATCAATCCCCAATAAGATTTCATTTTCATTCAATAATGTGGTGAATAATTCCACTGCTCTGTACATTTTGGGTACCCAGGGAAATGTTCACAAGCATATGATAAAAAATTTACTATATGATATTCAACTGTACATTAAAATTTCATTTCTTGGTAAGTACCACTAGCCAGAATGTGATTAGAATTAACATTGGGGGATTGAATCAAGTATGCTTAAGTGACCTCTAAACATCGACCAGTCCAGTCACCAGCATCTCACGTTGTGAAGAGGGTCGTGTGGGGAATTTCATAATTTTCTATTATGATTTTGTGGAATGTTACGTTGTTGTGTTTCACCTTTACACACCGGCGCGAGTAGTTTGAGACATTAAAGGTTGGTACAAGTAAAATAACACAAATGTGTAAGAGAGTTGGTAACTGATAACTATAACTACTTTTTACAGCCATCAACCTGCATGTCAATCAAACATGTAGAACTTTTATAGTATCGTGCTGCCCCCCCTCCCTCCCCCCCCCCCCCCAACCATTTGTCCTGACGCCCGAGGTGCTCGGTAAATCATCTTTTATTCAGCAAGCATCCCCGACAGATGTATACTCACTCGAAGTATGATACAATGACAAACAGAAACAGCAAAATAAGTGTATGCTTAATAATGTTTTTCTTGTATCGATTTGTATTGCCTGTACCAACACTTCTGACATTTCATTATATATAACGTAGTCGATAGTCTCTAGGGAATCCGTCAGTTCCGTCATGTAGCCTACCTGTAGGCCCCGCAGGCCGGACCGTTAAGATGGCGGTTGACTACAATTTAATCATTGTTGTCAGTTTATTTGGTAAGTAATGGTAATAGTGTACATATGTAGACCTTTATTAAAAGGTAACTTTTGACATTTGGATACCACTTTCATTTGGATAAAATCATTTTTTAAACTACAGCAATCTACAAACTGTAAAAAATACTTTATGTGACATCCCATGAAGCCTTTGCAAAACCATGTCTGCAACAATGTGGACGAGAAGTGTGTATGTGACAAAATGAAAAATTTTCATCTTTTAGCTTAAGCAATTTGTAAGAATGTTTTTCAGTAATGATATAATACGAGACATGAATTTGAATTACTTCTAAAGAGGTCTTTCAAGTAGTCCCTAAACTGTCATACAAGATTACTTAAAAACAAATTTACTTTTGCAAACGGAATTAATCATAACAGGTGTTATCACCGCCGCCGACCAATATCTACAATATGCCGATCTACCCGCTATTTCCCACGAAATCAACACAACCAGGCAAGAGTGCTTTGCTGAATGTTCTAAATTCAAGCCGGTCGGTCCCCATGGCTTTGAATGTCTCCAGGCGAAATATGAGTCTGCACGAAATGTATGTGTCCTTTTACTAGGTAAGGCAACTTATTCACATTTTACCGCATGGATACGAGCATGAAATTTGAGCGTTTAAATTTATTACAATATCTTCGTGTTTCACACTTATTGATTGTGGATTAAGAAAAATTAGGACCACATTTACGAAGGTGTAGTTTTTAGTTTGTCTCTTCCTTTGTTTTACTCAGAGATTGTGAGGTTTTAGATATAAGTATGCCCTATAAATCACTAAGCTTGACAACTTAGAACAAAGACGAGGAACACTCTAGATGGTCTTTATAGACATTGGTTACAAATTTAGTAAAATTGTTGGTTTAACCTTTTTCATTTTTAAATTGGTATAAATAAAGCGTAAAAATATTGTCATGATGCGCTTCATTGCATGTACATGTAGATAAAAACGAGTGTTTGGACGGCACCCACCAGTGTCAAGAAACGTGTGTCAACACTGCCGGAAGTTACAGATGCGAGTGCGGCAGCGGCCTGTTGTTGGACTCAGACGGGTTTTCCTGCACCATCCGTACGTTATTTTCTTTTATTACTGTTTTAAGATTGTCGTTATCTCAAAATCTTTTGGTTTAAAATCAACAGGTTGAGAATTAAATTCAACGTGATCGGGCCATTTTTACAGCTATGCTTTTTTGAAGCATTATACTATATGCAGTACAGGTAACTTGTTTAATTAAGTGGGAAACCAGTTGACCTATTCAAACATACAGGAAATTAATTTTTAAAAAAGCATGTTTAGTTCGAAAAACAGCTTGATCGGACGATTAATCTTGAAAATACGCATTTTGTGAATTTTTTTCACGTTGGCATTTCAAAGCGAGGGTTGGAACTTTCATGAGCATAAATCGCTATGCTTCTTAAATTTTCTGACTAGCCATGTTATCTGTAGTTCAAAACTGAAAATTGGTGGGGATTTTGCTTTCGGCATTGTGAAATAGTGCACCAAAATTGCCATAAACCCCATTTTGGACACCATCGGCGTTATTTTCCACTTTATGTCTGTACATTTGACAACTTTGCTACATTGTTTCAGGCATTTTTGCTTTTATTTGCTTTTCAAGCGACCGTTAGAAGTGAGTAAGTATTGATTTCAAGACTTTTGCAAAAGAAAAAGAT